TAGATAGAGAACAGATAGAAAGACAAACAACTAGGAACAACGGTAGATACAGTACATGCATGCATGCATGCATACATGCATACATAGATAGATAGATAGATAGATAGATAGACAGATGAGCGGCGTCGAAAACCGGGTAGCGATTTGGTTCTAATCCTCATAAGCTTTCGCGACGGCTTTCGCGGTTCTTTCGCGCGCACAGTTTTGGCTTTCGCGGTGACAGGTGTTTCGTAATATCTTTCGCGGTTGCTTTCGCGGAAAATTGCCCGTAAATAATGGTGCACATGAACATTTAAATGCGCTTCTACTATGTACCTGCTTTCGCCTCTGCTTTCGCGGCTCGACCTTGACGCACTCCTTTCGCGAAGCTTTCGCGCGTGGAGGTTTTGCTTTCGCGGGGGGTTCCCCACATGAACCCGAATACTAAATCCCTTCATGGAGGTTTTTGGTGCTGCTCAGATAGATAGATAGACAGATAGATAGATAGTGGTAGGAAGATAGGTAGGTAGGTAGATAGATAAAGGCTTAAACACCTGAAAGTCTACTCGGTGCACTCGGTGCGCTCCAAGTGTACTCCGTGCGCTCGGTGCACTCGGCGCGCTGCAAGTGTACTCGGTGCGCTGCAATGTACTCCTTGCACTCGGTGCGCTGCAGGTGTACTTGGTGCACTCGGTGCGCTGTAAGTGCACTCGGTGTACTCGGTGCACTCGGTGCGCTGCAAGTGGACTCGGTGCACTCGGTGCACTCGGTGCACTCGGTTCGCTGCAAGTGCACTCGGTGCACTCGGTGCACTCGGTGCACTCGGTGCGCTGCAAGTGTACTCGGTGTACTCGGTGCACTCAGTGCGCTGCACGTGTACTCGGTGCACTCGGTGCGGTACACTCGGTGCACTCGGTGCACTCGGTGCACTCGGTGCGCGCACTGTGCGCAGTCACTGATCGCGGCCGCAATGCAAAAAATGACAAATTCTTTGCTGGTGAACGTAGATATTCCCATTAATACCCAGCAAGACTAGTTAGGATTAAAGTACCCATGTAAGATTGACTAGACCTCATCCCAGAAACACACACGCTCTACGTGCTACCTCCGACTCTAAGGGCGTCCTTCACATTCCGCTGGCGTCAGGTCCGCGCAGGACCCCCGGCCCGAGTCAACGTCAACGACCGCGCAGGACCAGTGCTCTTTTCGGCAGCGACTTGTTCTGTCCTGATGAAAAGAGAGCAGAGTCAACTAAAACTGGCTGGTGGTTGACCTACCCCTCTGAAAAATATTAGTCAGTTGGGATTTTTATTCCCACTATATGGGAAAATAAACAAATGTTCCAAACCACCAGGTGGGGCAACCCTGGATGGCTAAGTTGGTTTATAACTGGGTTAGCTATGGTGTATGGTAGATATAACTACGTCTCATGGGGTTTCTAAACCAATTCATAGCTGGGGGGGACAGCCGGTTCATCAATTGCAATCCTCCCATTTGTCTGAAACCACTGTTACATTGCTCATACCCGAATTATAAACCCAATCTTTTGCTGGTTAAATCATGTTAAATCCAAATTCCATGACCCTTCCACTCCCTTGGTACTTCTGGGCATCTCCCAATGCGTCCCAAGCACCGTGCTACGGCCATCATCTTGGAAGACCAAAATGACATAGCTCACAGAGCCGAGGGCCACCTGTGTGGCTTGCTATGGCTACACTGCAAGTAGCCTCTGGTCATCTACTCCGGCAATGGCAAGGCAACACATTTGCAGATGCATTTGCCATCAAACAATATCTATGAATCTATGAACCACATAACAGAAAATCCTAAATATCACAAGTCCCAACCGCCCCCCCTGGAACCCCCCCCTTGGAACAGCCCATTTTGGCCAAATCGTAATGATATCATTCTACCAAGCACAGAGTCGTTGATTTTTTTGGGAAGATCTGAGGGCCGGGTGCCTTGCTGAGTTGGGACAGGGAGGGGCACGGGCCGGGCCCCTTTTGATGTTTTTTGATAAGATTGGAGAACAGATCTCAACTGGTTGGTGGTTTCAATCCCTCTGAAAATATTAGTCCCAGAGTCCCAATATATGGAAAAAAAACTGTTCCAAACCACCAACCAGTACAGTATTGTATAGGGAAACATATGGACGTCTTGTATGATCACCAATAATTCATAAATTGCTTAAACCACTTGTTGGGCCCTTGTCGCGTTGCCCTGGCTGCCATCCAAAATTTCTAGCCATGGTACCAAGCTCAGGGCCCTGCACTGCAGCTTTCCCACCATCAAAGCTTCCCCATGGCAGGGAGAGCTACGTCTCTCAGGCCGCGTTGATTCGAAGACAGATGGATTGATAGGTCTTGCCACAGCTTGTTTTGATATTGAAGTGGAATGCAAAAAACTATCTATTGAGTATACCCTATTTTCAGAAGTGGATATCCCTATTGAAGTGGATTTGATATTGAAGTGTTGTCAAATGATTTGGGGATTCATACTATCCAGCTGTCCCGAGGTAGGTTGAGTTTCTGATTAGTGTCTTTGGGATGGCTGAACATGTGCCGACACATCCCAGTGGGCCTGTGTTTACTTCACAGCGGTTTCAGCTGTTAGTTATATAGTAGATAAGTACTTGGGATGTTTACTCCAGTCACACATGGGTTTCATTTTAACCACTCATCTGGTTGGTGGTTTTAACCATCTTGAAAAATATTAGTCAATGGGAAGGATTATTCCATATATATTATGGAAAATAAAAAATGTTTGAAACCACCAACCACTCATGGTTGCTGCTAAGCACATCCAACATGATGAAAGTTCTTAACAGACCAACAGAGCCGGAACCAGCGAGAAGTCTTCTAAAGTCATCCCCCAGCTGTGGTAGGGCCGTGGGCCCCAGAAATGAAAGCAGACGTTCTGGCAGGATCTGGCAAGATGTGATTTTAGGTGGGAAGGATTTTAGGTGTAGCTGACAACATATTCCAACACACAGCTACTTGACTATCAACATATTCCAACACACACTGGCTGGTGGTTTCAAAATGTTTCAAACCCTGAAACAAATATGAAAGTCAGTTGGGATTATGACATTCCCAAGATATGGAAACATAAAACATGTTCCAAACCACCAACCAGCACAGCTACATGACTATCATTCAGAGGGATGACTGAAAAGGCTGAACAGGGCATCCACATTGCATGATTTCAAGCACGATGTAACGGTTGTTGTTAGCCGTTTTCCCACTCTCATTGGTCAAGATACAAAAGTACTCCCTTGAATTTTGAAATAAAGCCCCCCCCAGAAGTGGCCATTCCCAAAAGACATTTACATACTCTGGACGCAAGTTGGTCATCCACTTCTAGATAAGTTAGTACAACTTGCTGATTCACCAAACACCGCCGCGTCTTTGCACATTTTTTGACAACGATTCCCGCGCGTGAAGACGTCGCCGGACGTGTCATTGGAGAGACTGGGACAAGCGATGCAATGGCCAATCATGTTGGGATGGGTATCTTCGCTCAAAATGTGGGAAACTCAAAAAAAAACATCACACATGTTCCAGAAATGGCTTGTATGAGCCATCCCGACTGGTGGTTTATTGATGGTTTTAGAACATTGACAATGGTGTGATCACAACAAACAAGGTTGGCCTGAAGAAATGGTCATCACGGAATACATGATGGGGATCACTGGCTACTTGCCATACAGAACTGATATCGCCAGGTGGGGGATGCATTTACCCGATTTGAAATAATGTTCGATGTCATAGCCATTGGGAAAGGGGTCTCTTTCACTAACCTTCAGGATTTCATAAAGGAAAGCTCCACCTGATAAAAAGAACCTAAAACACCAAAGGTGACTTCAGGTCTGACCTCTAAGTCCACCATGTTTCTTATGTATTCCTCGATGCACATGGCAAACAAACACTCCTTTCATGCATATCCAAAAAATACCAGCATCCATTCCCAATGAAATGCTAATAAAATCTACAACATTAACCTGTAATTGACATAACACAAGTGCCTCTACAAATGCAAAATTAATCCCTTCCTCCTAATACTAAAACCCCCCCCCCTAATACAAAACACGGCAGGTAGTTTTTAGTATTAGGGGGGTATTTATTATTAGGGAACCAAATCGAAGTCATGTTAATTAATTAATTAAATTTCCTTATATAACGCAATTAAAATATTGCCAAAAATGGCAGTTCGAAGCTTACCCCTAATACTAAAATAAAACCCTTAATACTAAAAACTATTTTTTCCGATCTCAAAATCAATTAAATTTCCTTATATAACGCAATTAAAATATTGCCAAAAATGGCAGTTCGAAGTTTACCCCTAATACTAAATTAAAACCCTTAATGCTAAAAACTATTTTTTCCGATCTCAAAATCAATTAAATTTCCTTATATAACGCAATTAAAATATTGCCAAAAATGGCAGTTCGAAGCTTACCCCTAATACTAAATTAAAACCCTTAATAATAAAAACCATTTTTTCCGATCTCAAAATCAATTAAATTTCCTTATATAACGCAATTAAAATATTGCCAAAAATGGCAGTTCGAAGCTTACCCCTAATACTAAATTAAAACCCTAATTGCTAGAGTAGCTAGGCAGCTTGGAGTGAAGGATTGGGACTAGGCCCCCCTAATACTAAACACCCCGGGGTGAACTAGTTTTTAGTATTAGGGGGGAGAACCCACAAATGGTAGGTTGATTTTTAAATTGTTTTTTAAAGGGGATCAATTAAAAGTCAAATTGGCCAAACTGAAATTTTCGGAAATTGGAGATGGATGCCTGTTTTTAGTATTAGGGGGACGTTTAGTATTAGGAGGAAGGGATTACTCGCAATGGCCACTTGAACAGGGAAACTGAAGTCGCAAATAGTCTTAACGATGGGATTTTGTCCACACAAATCAGGATGATATTCCTATCTAGCCAGGATTGGGAGGACTTCCATGCGCAACACATTCGAATCACCGCCTCGTGCAAGGGACTTCGAGCAGGGCTGCCGTCACCATGGATGCCCTGGTGAGAGAAGAATCACTTCCAGTCCCTATCCGTCCTACGGTAAGTCAATGGATATGGAAGATCCACCGTTTCGAGATCTATTAATGTTGGCAAATATATCCAAATGCAGAATTCCAGCAACCTGTGCTGGTGTTCTCAAGTTTTTCCCCGGTCCTCGCAAAGGGCCAAGTACGTCTGCAACCTGGGCATTGCAGTGGGGCCATGGTTGTTTTCCTGGCTTAAAGTAAGCTATATACAATTTGATTTTAAATATGAATCTAAACATAAGCTGGAACCCCTAACAATCAACATATTCAAAATTTACGCAATTGTTTCCGTCAGTAAAGAATCACTATATGGATATAGTATGGATAGTATGATGGATTATATGGATATAGTATGATTACCTAAGCTTTTCATCTGCTAACCATCTAACCATTACATACGAGGTTCCCTAAGGTCGCGGCCCCACGCAGTCCACAGGTCGAGATCTGGTCGCACCGTCGGACACGTCCAGGGCTGGGTCGGCTAACCTGCTGGGGAAAAAATCAGATGTAGCTGGGTCTGTAATGTGGGTATCAAGGGGTTATATAATGGTGTATATATATATATAAATAGTACTTATATAACTATATTATATAGTACTGGTGGTTGTTGTGGATATCGACAAGAGATTCTGCATAGAACAGGCAACATGTTGGTCAACAGAATTGCGGAGTTTTGGTACACGCATTCAATCAAATGATTATCATACAATTAAATGCAGGGTTTTACATGTCATATAATATAATTATTGAAGTATATGACTTCCAATGTGTCAAACTATAGTCCAAAAAATGGGGATGGCTATCATTGGGTACATTCGGATGCTGAAGACTTAGATACTCTCCATCTTCTCTGTGATCATTGGGCACATGTCAACAATATTCATAGTTTTTGAAGGATAGAAGTCTGTATCAGAGTCAGTATCATTGTGATTTCGGTTATAATTGTATTGGTATAGATATGCATAGAAAAGGTTCCTGAGTCGCCGCCATCTATGGGTTTATATGCATCAGAACCCTGCAAACTGTGCAGGTGCCCGCCGCGTGTCTAGGGTGTTACCTGGGATCTGAATGGAGGGTAAATCAGCTCATCAAAAACCACTCAAATATGAATCGGATAAACCTACAACATCCTACAACACAATCTGGTGGAGTTACCTGGTTCACTCAATTAACTCCATGAATGAGCCGCATTAAAAAAAACGTAGTTTCTCTACAAAGCTGCAATAGGAAATTGATGGAAATTGCATCGGCATGTCTGGTGACCATTTTGCACATTATATATGTCTTTTGATCATTTCTCCTCAAAAACATAAGGATTTGTCCATTTCCAGGTTGAACTGTTAGACAATTGAATAATATAAATGTCTTATCAGCCAATCACATGGAGATGGGTATATGAAAAACATAGGGATTTCGAAGCTTGCCACGCAGTTGGATTCCGGAAAGTCACTGGTTATTTTCTGGACCCCAGTGCGGTTCAGAAGGTTCAACTATGGTCTTCTGGCCCAGATAAAAGTAGCACAACCCCACTTAGCAAACATGTGCAAACTTACTGATATGTATGGTAAACCTCATCATAAACCATAGCCCATCTACCAACTTTTATCCGCTGAGGGGTATGAGAAGCCATATCGCAAAACCGAGTTTGCGGCGACGGGTTTACCACATCAATGGGAGGATCATCCCAATTAGCAAGTGTTTCAGTTTATCTTCAAATCATTAAACATCATGCTTCATGTTTCCTAACTCCAGCTGGGTATACATATAATATACCTTATTTGGGATGTATGTGGATATTATTATCTGATATATATATATATATATCGAAAAGGTGGTACTGAATGTTGAATGATAGTTGAAAAGGTGGTACTGAATGTATAGGCATCGTTGGACAGAATGGTCACCCACCAGTATTCGCTACTGGTACGAATCGAGGCATTCTTGAAACGATCACTACAGGACTACAGGTGAATGGGGTACCCCTAGGACACTCTCTAGCATTCTGGAGGAAACTAGTTGAATAGTTGATACTGCTGGAGACGGGAGGTAAGCCCAACTAACACCCAATGGAATTAGCACAAGTTGAAGATTGTCAAAAAAGGAAGACAAACAAAGCCCCAGTAGCTGCAGACAAATTACACTACCTTTCGTTGCATGATAGTGGGACACTGCTCCAGATGAATGGAGCCCAAAGTTTAAATGAATGGGATGGTTGAAAATTGAAATGCTTTGGAAGGTCTTTTGAACTCCCTTGTCAACGCTTTTTGTGGAGACCCAGCCAGTGAGAAAAAACACACACACTAGATGAAGCTACCAGTAGCGACTGCGCTTGTGGAGTTTTGGCGTCGCTGGACCACCCTAAATCGAGCGTTCTAACAGGGAGCGACCGTCACCCCCTGTTAGAACACTCACTACCGGTAGCGACTGCACTTGTGGAGTTTTGGAGTCGCTGGACCACCCTAAATCTTGCGTTCTTCTCAGTACAACCCCAGCGAAAACACAAGATGATCCTTGGGTCGATGATTCCGGTGGCACCCTTAGAACACTCACTACCGGTAGCGAGCGTTCTAACAGGGAGCGACCGTCGCTCCCTGTTAGAACACTATTTATCTTCGTAGCACCATTTTTTTATACATTTTGAATCCGCAAATCGCTATACCGGTAGTGAGCGTTCTAAGGGCTCCACATTGACAGAATTCCCAATCACTACCGGTAGTGAGCGTTCTAAGGGCTCCCCATTGACAGAATTCCCAATTCACTACCGGTAGCGAGCGTTCTAAGGGCTCCCCATTGACAAAATTCCCAATTCACTACCGATAGCGAGCGTTCTAAGGGTTCCCAATTCACTACCGGTAGCGAGCGTTCTAAGGGTTTCCAATTAAGGGTTTCCACTTCACTACCGGTAGCGAGCGTTCTAAGGGTTCCCAATTCACTACCGCTAGCGGTTTCTAAGAGTTCCCAATTCACTACCGCTAGCGAGCGTTCTAAGGGTTCCCAATTCACTACCGGTAGCGAGCGTTCTAAGGGTTCCCAATTCACTATCGGTAGCGAGCGTTCTAAGAGTTCCCAATTCACGACCGGTAGCGAGCGTTCTAAGGGTGTCCATTCACTACCGGTAGCGAGCGTTCTAAGGATTCTCAATTCACTATCGGTAGGGCGTGTTTTAAGGGACCCAATTCACTACCGCTAGCGAGCGTTCTAAGATGTTCTAAGGGTGCCCAATTCAGACCAGTAGTGAATGTTGGTGGAGTAACCGTGGTGTCCAAAGATGCAAATATACAGTACCACCTTTTCAACTATCATAAAAGCAGGACAGTATATATATCCTCAATGATATAATGATATAGCATGGATTCTTAGCTGGGGATATATCACTTAAAACTGCGATATGGTGATGTGGATCCACGGCGGGGCCTCTGAAGCAGGGCTTTGGCCACGCGATCCACGGCGTCTTCGCCCCAAATGCCACGCCACCTGTCGAGAGGAAACCCCCATATTTAATGGTAACAACCATGGTTTCCGGTTAAGATTTTCCCTTAAACCAATCCAATGATAAATACCATATATGCTATGTATGATATTATTGTGTATATATATATATGTATATATATAATATACACAGAGACAAAACATCACATAACTATATGGGCCAACACTTCTTACGCCACTGAGCCCCGGACGCACGCATCAACCGCGTTCGCAAGGTTTGCCAAAGACCCTCGCTGTTCAAGAGCCTGTGGTGGCAACAAAACATGTGTATCTGACAAAACATGAATCCCACACTGGAAGTAGATCATGAACTGGGCTGGTTTCCCGTAATAAGTATAATCATCAATTCATCCCTTGGGGTGAGATGTTGTTATGTACACAACATGTATAGGATATCTATACCAAGATTATCGTTTTACCGATCATACATGTGGTTGCCATGCAGCATGAGGTTGAAATCCCATCCATGGTCATATTGGATGCTTCTGAATGGATCGTTGCACGAAATGGTAAAGCAATAGGATCCACCATCCCCAATCTGAAACCATTCTTATGGGTGGGATAAACATGTATAAACCATCAAAATATTGGTGAGTTCCTTATGTTTGGCTTGTTGCTTTACCAAAAAAAAACAAACAAAATTCAGGGACACTTAAAAACTCCGTACTTCTTCAACTCCGCAGGATATCGCGCGATACTCAAAGGACCCGCCTCTGTGCTTGCTGCGGTCGAAAGTTTTGGCAGCCTTCAGTTGCCACCAACCAATCCACCAAGCGTACCTTCCAAGGAGGTGATCATGATGATCCCAGCATGGGCCATGGGAAAGACATTCGGAAACCATGGTGGTTTGTTTGTTTGCTTGTTACATCTTGCTAAAATCACATTAATATATATATTAATGCTATGAATATGATCATGGTTTATTGATGTTTATTGATGTTGACTTTTTTTGTATAATATATGTTTCCCAACAAAATCATCCATCGAGATCAAGCAGAGGCAGTTGTCCTTGGGCCCTAGGCCCGAGGCACACAATTCCACTGAAAAATGGCGCACGGCCAACTGAAGCTCCTCGTATTCCGCGGCATACCTGCGGTATGCGGACGACCGGCCCAGTGCTAAAGGGTGACGTTGTGGGGCCAATGGTGACATATGGGATTTTAAATATGAATTATGGGGATGTCGCTAGAATCAATAGCTGAATGCATCATCATTCCACTTTGTTGGGAAAAACATCCAGAACTATCAGCTAGATTTTGATAGATTTTGATGTGAAGAGAGGGGTATGAGTATCAGGGTCTTTCTCCATAGCCATCTGAAAAAGAACAGGCAAGAGGGTTAGGTCTTCTATGGTCTTCTTAACGTTGCACGTTCCCGGAATTCCAATATTCCTATGCCCCGAAAGTGCCAAAAAACTCCGCTGGAACTCTGGCAATCGATAGCCCAAAGACTTCACCTAGACTGCTTGAATACCCACATGTCATGCTTCCGATATCCCGATGTTTGCTGATTCTACAAATCACCCATTTCTGCCGTCCATTAGGTACTCAACAGATCTTCATAGTCAAACATCCCCTTTTGTTGATGGCACTTGAAGCCCAGTTCGTCATGCACTTCGCTGCTCAAGCGTTGCAAGGCCACCCGGGGATCGTCCTGATCCAATGGCTGAAACCAGTTAGGGAAGTGGTAAGCATAACACAGTAATAAAAACTATAGATTACTGGGAATATGATATAACATGAGCTATTAATTATATAACTTTGGGAATATAAACTATATTGTAGCTATATGTAAGTTATGATAAAACATGAGATATTACCCTCTGGTAAATTAACATAGACCCTGAAAATGACCAATTTATAGTGGAAACTAGTCTTCCAAACCCTATCTGCCAGGGTCAGCTTTTGACCAGGTGTTTTACAGATCGAATCCACATCTGTGGCGGTGTTTTTTCGTTCCCGTTTCTTTATTGCGCCTACCAGCTTAGTGTTCCCCTGCGATCGATATATGACCCATTTCAGGAACCTAAATTGGAGGTATCTACCCTCTGGTAAACGTTTACATAACTATGGAAAATCACCGTTTTCAATGGGAAAACCCATTATAAATGGTCATGTTCAATAGCTTTTTGTCTGTTTACCAGAGGGTACCATATCCAAAAGGCCTATAGTTAGTAAGGGCCAACTTTCAGGGAATCTCCCCACAAAATAGCGTTGGCCAACACTATTTAATGTGGTTAAAACAATGCCATAAACCAGCCCATGTTTGATGGTCTATACCGTCTATACCCATAAAAAAATGTGCTTTTGGGGATTTATGGCATTGTTTCAGCCACCAAAAAAATCAGGTATTAATCACTATTATAACCACTATTAACCACTGCTAACCCAATATCAACCCACTATTAACCACAAAAAATCAGGTATTAATCACTATTAACCACTATTAACCCACTATTAACCCACCAAAAATCTCCTTATTTTGGGGTGAAAAATCGCCCAGCGTATCCCGTTCTCCTCCCGTTGCAGGGCGATCCAATCGGCCAATGGCAAGGCCGTTGGATCGAAGTTCCAACAGGGATCCGCCTGTAGCCAGGGGAGGGCGGAACGGGGCCAGGGTAGCTGGGTTCACTTAGTGTTTGATAGCTGGGTTATTCAATGGCCATTTCAGGAACCTAAATTGGAGGTACCTACCATATATAAGGTTAATCTATGGTTAATCTATGGTTAATCTATGTATGAATTATACCCATGACGATTCCATGGTGCTGGTATATATGCTAACATAAAGGAGGTTTTTGTTGATGGGATCCATGTTACCATATATAGCAGCACCATGGATCCGTCATGGGATATATCATGACATAGATTAACCATAGATTAAACCATGATTAACCTTACTATATGGTAGGTACCTCCAATTTTAGTTCCTGAAATGGCAATTGAATAACCCAGCTATATTTCAAAACACTAAGTGAAAACCCAGGCTTACGGCCCCGTTCCGCCCTACCCCTGGTCAGGAGGATCCTGTTGGGAACTTCGATCCAACGCCTTGCCATGGCCGATTGGATCGCCTGCAACGGGAGGAGAACGGGATACGCTGGGCGATGTTTTACACCAAAATAAGGAGATTTTGTGGTGGGGAATATTGGGTTAATAGTGGTTAATAGTGATTAATACCTGATTTTTGGTGGTTAATAGTGGGTTGATAGTGGGTTAGTAAGTAGTTAACAGTGGTTATAATAGTGATTAATACCTGATTTTTTGGTGGCTGAAACAATTCTATAAATCCCCAAAAGCACAATTTTTATGGGTATAGACGGTATAGACCATCAAACATGGGCTGGTTTATGGCATTGTTTTAACCACATTTCTGATGTCAATATGTGTTGGCGTTGGCCATATTTTTGCGGGAACATTCCCTGAGAGTTGGCCCTTACTAACTATAGGCCTTTTGGATATGGTACCCTCTGGTAAACAGACAAAAAGCTATTGAACATGACCATTTATAATGAATTTTCCCATTGAAAATGGTGATTTTCCATAGTTATGTAACGTTTACCAGAGGGTAGATACCTCCAATTTAGGTTCCTGAAATGGGTCATATATCGATCGCAGGGGAACACTAGGCTGGTAGGCGCAATATGGCGCAATGGGAACGAACAAAACACCGCCAAAGATGTGGATTCGATCTGTAAAACACCGGGTCAAAAGCTGATAACAAGTTATATACCCTCTGGTAAATTAACATAGACCCTGGCAGATAGGGTTTGGAAGACTATATAGTTTCCACTATAAATTGGTCATTTTCAGGCTCTATGTTAATTTACCAGAGGGTAATATCTCATGTTTTTATCATAACTTACATATAGTTATAGAATATACTTTATATTCCCAAAGCTATATAATTAATAGCTCATGTTATATCATATTCCCAGTAATCTATAGTTTTTATTACTGTGTTATGCTTACCACTTCCCTAACTGGTTTCAGCCATTGGGTCAGGACGATCCCCGGGTGGCCTTGCAACGCTTGAGCAGCGAAGTGCATGACGAACTGGGCTTCAAGTGCCATCAACAAAAGGGGATGTTTGACTATGAAGATCTGTTGAGTACCTAATGGACGGCAGAAATGGGTGATTTGTAGAATCAGCAAACATCGGGATATCGGAAGCATGACATGTGGGTATTCAAGCAGTCTAGGTGAAGTCTTTGGGCTATCGATTGCCAGAGTTCCAGCGGAGTTTTTTGGCACTTTCGGGTCATAGGAATATCGGAATTCCAGGAATGTGCAACGTTAAGAAGACCTAACCCTCTTGCCTGTTCTTTTTCAGATGGCTATGGAGAAAGACCCTGATACTCATACCCCTCTCTTCACATCAAAATCTATCAAAATCTAGCTGATAGTTCTGGATGTTTTTCCCAAAAGATTGGAATGATGATGCATTCAGCTATTGATTCTAGCGACATCCCCATAATTCATATTTAAATTCCCATATGTCACCATTGACCCCACAACGTCACCCTTTAGCACTGGGCCGGTCGTCCGCATACCCCAGGTATGCCGCGGAATACGAGGAGCTTCAGTTGGCCGTGCGCCATTTTTCAGTGGAATTGTGTGCCTCGGGCCTAGGGCCCAAGGACAACTGCCTGTGCTTGATCTCAATGGATGATTTTGTTGGGAAACATATTATACAAAAAAAGTCAACATCAATAAACATCAATAAACCATGATAATATTCACAGCATTAATATATATATATATATATATTAATGTGATTTTAGCAAGATGTAACAAGCAAACAAACAAACCGCCATGGTTTCCGAATGTCTTTCCCATGGCCCATGCTGGGATCATCATCATCACCTTGGAAGGTACGCTTGGTGGATTGGTTGGTGGCAACTGAAGGCTGCCAAAACTTTCGACCGCAGCAAGCACAGAGGCGGCGGGGTCCGGCGGAGTTGAAGAAGTACAGAGGTTTTACCCTCTGGTTATGTCAAAATAGCTATTGAAAATGATCATAGGAATAGTGGATTTTCCCATGAAAAATGGTGATTTTCTATAGCTATTTTGACATAACCAGAGTTTTTAAGTGTCCCTGAATTTTGCTTGTGTTTTTTTTAGTAAAGCAACAAGCAAACACAAGATACATAAGAAACTCACCAATATTTTGATGGTGTATACCGCCCATAAGAATGGTTTCAGATTGGGGATGGTGGATCCTATTGCTTTACCATTTCGTGAAACGATCGATTCAGAAGCATCCAATATGACCATGGATGGGATTTCAACCTCATGCTGCATGGCAACCACATGTATGATCGGTAAATGGATAATCTTGGTATAGATATCCTATACATGTTGTGTACATAACAACATCTCACCCAAGGAATGAATTGATGACATTATACTTATTACGCGAAACCAGCCCAGTTCATGATCTACTTCCAGTGTGGGATTCATGCTTTTGCTGCTCAGATACTGACATGATGCTGGCCACCACAGGCTCTTGAACAGCGAGGGTCTTTGGCAAACCTTGCGAACGCGGTTGATGCGTGCGTCCGGGGCTCAGTGGCGTAAGTGTTTGTTTCGACCAGTGATGAACCCCATATAGTTATGTGATGTTATGTCTCTGTACATATATACATATCATATATTATAAATGATGTATGTATGTATATATATATATATATGCATAATACCATGTAAAGCATATTAGGCATTTATATCTAGTGTCACTACATATAATCTTTCAGCAGTGAAGAACTTCACTGCCTGGGATGCTCCAGCCACACCGCTCTCGACAGGTGGCGTGGCATTTGGGGCGAAGACGCCGTGGATCGCGTGGCCAAAGCCCTGCTTCAGAGGCCCCTGAGGATCCACATCAGAACCATATCGCAGTTTTAAGTGATATATCCCCAGCATTCCCCAGCTAAGAATCCATGCTATACCATTATATCATTATATCATTGAGGATGTATATATATATATATATATATATCAGATAATAATATCCACATACATCCCAAATAAGGTATATTATATATATACCCAGCTGGAGTTAGGAAACATGAAGCATGATGTTTAATGATTTTAAGATCAACTGAAACACTTACTAATTGGGATGATCCTCCCATTGATGTGGTAAACCCGTCGCCGCAAACTCGGTTTTTGCGATATGGCTTCTCATACCCCTTAACCGATAAAAGTTGGTAGATGGGCTATGGTTTATGATGAGGTCTACCATACATATCAGTAAGTTTGCACATGTTTGCTAAGTGGGGTTGTGCTACTTTTATCTGGGCCAGAAGACCATAGTTGAACCTTCTGAACCGCACTGGGGTCCAGAAAAATCCAGTGACTTTCCGGAATCCAACTGCGTGGCAAGCTTCGAAATCCCTATGTTTTTCATATACCCATCTCCATGTGATTGGCTGATAAGACATTTATATTATTCAATTGTCTAACAGTTCAACCTGGAAATGGACAAATCCTTATGTTTTTGAGGAGAAATGATCAAAAGACAAATATAATGTGCAAAATGGTCACCAGACATGCCGATGCAATTTCCTATTGCAGCTTTGTAGAGAAACTACGTTTTTTTTTAATGCGGCTCATTCATGGAGTTAATTGAGTGAACCAAGTAACTCCACCAGATTGTGTTGTAGGATGTTGTAGGTTTATCCGATTCATACTTGAGTGGTTTTTGATGAGCTGATTTACCCTCCATTCAGATCCCAGGTAACACCCTAGGGACGCGGCGGGCACCTGCACAGTTTCCGGGGTTCTGATGCATATAGACCCATAGATGGCGGCGACTCAGGAACCTTATCTATGCATATCTATACCAATATAAAACCGAAATCACAATGATACTGACTCTGATACAGACTTATATCCTTCAAAAACTATGAATATTATTGACATGTGCCCAATGATCACAGAGAAGATGGAGAGTATCTAAGTCTTCAGCATCCGAATGTACCCAATGATAGCCATCCCCATTTTTTGGACTATAGTTTGACACATTGGAAGTCATATACATTATATAACCCCTTGATACCCAAATTACAGACCCAGCTACATGTGATTTTTGGCCAGCAGGTTAGCCGACCCAACAGCCCTGGACGTGGCCGACGGTGCGACCATATCTCGACCTGTGGACTGCGTGGGGCCGCGACCTTAGATGTAATGGTTAGATGGTTGGCAACCAGATGAAAAGCTTAGGTAATCAATGGTAATCATACTATATCCATATAGTGATTCTTTACTACCAGAAAATACCGCGTAAATTTTGAATATTTTGAGTGTTAGGGGTTCCAGCTTATATTTAAATTCATATTTAAATTCAAATTGTATATAGCTTTAAGCCTGGAAAACAACCGTGGCCCCACTGCAATGCCCAGGTTGCAGACGTACTTGGCCCTTTGCGAGGACCGGGGAAAAACTTGAGAAAACCCAGCACAAACAGGTTGCTGGAATTCTTCATTTGGATATATTTGCCAACATTAATAGATCTCGAAACGGTGGATCTTCCATATCCATTGACTTACCGTAGGACGGATAGGGACTGGAAGTGATTCTGTTCTCACCAGGGCATCCATGGTGACGGCAGCCCTGCTCGAAGTCCCTTGCACGAGGCGGTGGTTCGAATGTGTTGTGGATGGAAGTCCTCATCCTGATTTGTGTGGACAAAATCCCATCGTTAAGACTATTTGCGACTTCATTTTCCCTGTTCAAGTGGCCATGGCGGGTAGTTTTGCATTTGTAGAGGCACTTGTGTTATGTCAATTACAGGTTAATGTTGGAGATTTTATTAGCATTTCATTGGGAATGGATGCTGGTATTTTTTTGGATGTGCATGAAAGGAGTGTTTGTTTGAAGGTTGGACCTGAAATCACCTTTTGTGTTTAGGTTATGTTTATCAGGTGGAGCTTTCCTTTCTGAAATCCTGAAGCTTAATGAAAGAGGCTCCTTTCCCAATGGCTATGACATCGAACATCATTTCAAATCGGGTAAATGCATCCCCCACCTGACGTTTATGCCAGATATGGCTGAGGATATCAACTGTATGGCAAGTAGCTAGTGATCCCAATCATGTATACTGTGATGACCATTTCAATTTCTTCGGGCCAACCTGTTCATTTGTGCTAAAGCTATCAATAAACCATAATAAACCACCAATTGGGACGGCTTATACAAGCCATTTCTGGAACATGTGTGATGTTTTTTTTGTTGAGTTTCCCACATTTTGAGCGAAGATACCCATCCCAACATGGGTCATTGCATCGCTTGTCCCAGTCTCTCCAATGACACGGCCGGCGACGTCTTCACGCGCGGAAAAATCGATGTCAAAAGATGTGCAAAGACGCGGCGGTGTTTGGTGAATCGGGAAGTTGTACTACCCTCTGGTAAACAGACAAAAAGCTATTGAACATGGCCATAGAAATAGTGGATTTACCCATTAAAAATGGTGATTTTGCATAGTTATGTAAACGTTTACCAGAGGGTATCTAGAAGTGGATGACCAACTTGTGTCCAGAATATGTGAATGTCTTTTGGGAATGGCCACTTCTGGGGGGCTTTATTTCAAATTTCAAGGGAGTACTTTTGTATCTTGACCAATGAGAGTGGGAAAACGGCTAACAACAACCGTTACATCGTGATTGAAATTATGCAATGTGGATGTCCTGTTCAGCCTTTTCAGTCACCCCTCTGAATGATAGTCATGTAGCTGTGTGTTGGAATATGTTGAAGTCAGCTACACCATGCCATCCTTTCCACCTAAAATCAGATCTTGCCAGATCCTGCCAGAACGTCTGCTTTCATTTCTGGGGCCCACGGCCCTACCACAGCTGGGGGATGACTTTAGAAGACCTCTCGCTGGTTCCGGCTCTGTTGGTCTGTTAAGAACTTTCATCATGTTGGATGTGCTTAGCAGCAACCATGGTGGTTGGTGCTTTCAAACATTTTTTATTTTCCATAATATATATATATATGGATAATCCTTCCCATTGACTAATATTTTTTCAAGATGGTTAAAACCACTAACCAGATGAGTGGTTAAAATGAAACCCATGTGTGACTGGAGTAAACATCCCAAGTACTTATCTACTATATAACTAACAGCTGAAACCGCTGTGAAGTAAACACAGACCAACTGGGATGTGTCGGCACATGTTCAGCCATCCCAAAGACACTACAGAGAAACTCAACCTACCTCGGGACAGCTGGAAAGTATGAATCCCCAAATCATATGACAACATGTGATAGTTTTTTGCATTCCACCTATCAATATCAAAACAAGCTATGGCAAGACCTATCAATCCATCTGTTTTCAAATCAACACGGCATGAAAGATGTAGCTCTCCCTGCCATGGGGAAGCTTTGATGGTGGGAAAGCTGCAGTGCCGGGCCCCTGAGCTTGGTACCATGGCTAGAAACTTTGGATGGCAGCCAGGGCAACGCGACAAGGGCCCAACAAGTGGTTTAAGCAATTTATGAATTATTGGTGATCATAGAATATTCAAGACGTCCATATGTTTCCCTATGCAATACTGTACTGGTTGGTGGTTTGGATTAGTTTTTTTCCATATATTGGGACTATTTTTTTTCAGAGGGATTGAAACCACCAACCAGTTGGGATCTATTCTCCAATCTTCTCAAAAAAACATATTGGGGCCCACGGGCCCCGGCCCACCCTCCCTGTCCCAACTCAGCAAGGCGCCCGGCCCTCAGATCTTCCCAAAAAAATCAACGACTCTGTGCTTGGTAGAATGATACTTTTATCATTACGATTTGGCCAAAATGGGCTGTTCCAGGGGGGGGTTGGGACTTGTGGTATTTAGGAGTTTCTGTTATGTGGTTCATAGATATTGTTTGATGGCAGATGCATCTGCAAATGTGTTGCTTTGCCATTGCCGGAGTAGATGACCAGAGGCTACTTGCAGTGTAGCCATAGCAAGCCACACAGGTGGCGCTCGGCTCTGTGAGCTATTAGTCATTTTGGTCTTCCAAGATGATGGCCGTAGCACGGTGCTTGGGACGCATTGGGAGATGCCCAGAAGTACCAAGGGAGTGGAAGGGTCATGGAATTTGGATTTAACATGATTTACCCTCTGGTAAATAAACATAGACCCTGAAAATCACCCATTTTTAATGGAAACTAGTCTTCCAACCCCTATCTGCCAGGGTCTATGTTAATTTACCAGAGGGTAACCAGCAAAAGATTGGGTTTATAATTCGGGTATGAGCAATGTAACAGTGGTTTCAGACAAATGGGAGGATTGCAATTGATGAACAGGCTGTCCCACCCAGCTATGAATTGGTTTAGAAACCCCATGAGACGTTATATCTACCATACACCATAGCTAACCCAGTTATAAACCAACTTAGCCATCCAGGGTTGCCCCACCTGGTGGTTTGGAAGTTTGGAACATGTTTTTTTATTTTCCCATATAGTGGGAATAATAATCCCAACTGACTTTCATATTTTTCAGAGGGGTAGGTCAACCACCAACCAGATACATATCCATTAACCACCATTAACCACCATTAACCACCATCAACCACCATCAACCACCAACCATGACCTTTTTCATCAGGACAGAACAAGTCGCTGCCGAAGAGAGCACTGGTCCTGCGCGGTCGTTGACATTGACTCGGGCCGGGGGTCCTGTGTGGACCTGATGCCAGCGGAATGTGAAGGACGCCCTTAGAGTCGGAGGTGGCACGTAGAGCGTGTGTGTTTCTGGGATGAGTGAGATCTAGGTCAATTTTACATGGGTACTTTAATCCTAACTAGTCTTGCTGGGTACTAATGGGAATATCTACGTTCACCAGCAAAGAATTTGTCATTTTTTGCAGGGTATCTCAGATTGGCAATGAGATATGTAACTTATTGAAAGAAAGACTTCTATACAAAAACAAAATCACAAAGGATATCAAAGGACCCAATAGGTTATTGAAAAAAAGGTATTACACCCAATTCAATAGGTTTTTAATATATTAATATATATATATATATATTTGATTGTGTATATATATATACATACATAAGGGATTTAACAAAGAATTGGGTGTAGGAAGCCTATTGAATCCCAACATTTTTTGGGGAAACAAAGGAGGCAACGGCACCTGGCTTGGCCTGAAGATCCCCAGCTGGCAACCGAACCCGAGGCCGGACGGCGACCTCACTGGAATCATGGTTAAGGGGAATCATCCCCAAATGGCCGAACTATTCAGGTTAGTGAAATATTATAATTTACCCAGATAAATAAATAGGTGGTAGAAATTATTCCCAAATGGGTGGTTTATGACATTGGTTTACCATGTTTTACCCACATTACCACTATTTTTGCAATTTTAGTATAGGACTCTAATTGTTGTTAATCTTTTTGGGGTTGCTATAGATGGTTTCCAACACCGTAGTAGCAACTAGGGGTTTTCCCTCCGTTGAGTATGGAGAAGTACAGAAAAGCTGGAACCATTGGGCACTTGTGATGGAACCATGATGGAGCCATGATCTACTCAATATGTGAATGCTATGTGCTTATGATTATGATTATTATTATTATATATATATATTATTGCTTGACGAATCCTATATTTTAATATCATGGTAAATTGGGGCCTCCCGTTAGGTCCTACCTCTTAAGACCTGTGGTGAACACCCAAGGGCCTGGGATAGAGAAGATGAGTCACCTCAGGACGTGAACCCCGGGCTGTTTGATTTGAGAGGGATCACCCCCAGTAACAATCTGCTGCTAAAATGGTAACATCCCGAAGAGTCACATCCCCAAAATGGGAACATCCAGCTAAATATGGGTTGACAATAGGTTCATTGGTTGATGTCAAGTTTTTTGTTTGCCGTGACTGGAAATAAATCACATGGATGAGAGTTGACTGATTGGACTACTGTATATGTACCTATTGATTGTCCAAGCTGGTTGAATGTTTCGTGCACCCTTTCCTTGTTTGATATTGATCGACATTGATTTGACATGATTTGACTAAACGGTTTAATTTATGGATGTATGGAGGGAGGCTCCGGGGCCATTCCCACTGGCATCTCTGGACAAGTTCTGGAGTTGGAATGCCTAGGTTCACCTATAAACATAATCAAACATTACATGGAGGCTAAAAGGGTTCAACATCAACAATAATGAAACAATGACTCAGTCCTACCAAATTCAAGGCATGTTCAAAATCTTTTTGTGTGGCCATTGTTTGATATTCTAGGATGCATCATGCTCGCGCATGTTTGGACCGCAGCTATCTCCCATCTCCTTCAGGTTTTCAAACTGTTTCAACGAGGGTGTCTTGGCATCCAGCCAACTTGTGGAGTTTGTCTCAAAGGGTGGGAGACCTTTATAGGGAATCCGATGGTTTTTCGTTATCATCATTTTCCACATGCAAAATGCATCAAAAATGCATCAGATTGGCCAGATTGGGATAAATTGGGATATGCCCCTGGGATAATTTTTGATGAACATGATAGAACAAAAATACCTGGGAATCACTTGGGATATCCCCTGGATGCAGCAAGCCCCATCTAATCAGAGCCGTTGAAACTGCCGTGGTCCATCCATCGCCCAGTGCCGCATGGGATCCATGGGATCCTGCGGCATGGTAGTATCATGTACTATCAAGGCTTGGGGGACGTTGTCAACATCAACTGATAGCTATTATAGCCATACCCTCTATATGGTAGTATCATACCCTCTGGTAGTTATTTAACATAGCTATCATAGCTATCATAGCTATCATAGCTATCATAGCTATCATAGCTATCATAGCTATTGAAAATGGCCTTATAGAAATCGTTGACTTACATATTAAACATTGTGATTTTCCAGTTCGGTATGTTAGATTTCCAGAGGCAAACAAATATAACTTGGGTGTATCTGGTGGATGAAGGTTAGATCTAACTCTACTGGATATATATAAATATAACATATCATGATATATCTCCGCCTAGTTTTATGACAAAGAAACTGAACCAGGGCCCTACGGAATCCCAGGTGCTCAGCTGGCCTGCATGCCGCAGCTCATCAACTTGGCACCGCCCAAGACCGAAGTGGCCATTGTGTGGTAAATAACAATGGGATATAGTGGGATATAATGGGTAGTTAATGCTGGGATATACCATTTTTTATCATGTATTACTATATCATCCCATTATACCCATACAATTACCATGTATTGGAATAATGGGATACAGTGGGCAAATCATGATAGTCAGTGAAATAACAATGAGTGGTCTCAAGAGGTGTCCCAATATGAAAAAGAACCTGGGATACTTCTGGAATGATGATCCGATATTATAAGCAAACCATCCCCAAGTCGGGGTGCATTATGGGATAACTCGAGAAGGATGATATTTATGATGACCCCCAAATGGTGATAATTAGTGGATGGTTTATGGTTTTGGGTTTACCACATTGCATGAGTTTCACAATCAGAGAAACCGCTTTTGCCAACAGAGTTTGGCAACTTTGGGATAGATATGGCTGAATGCGACATTATGACCCTAACAGGTCAATTTTAACTTGCTTCAATGGGGGAACATAACAATGCCCAATGCCCAGCCCGGAAAAAATAGCAAGGCACACCGTCTGACAGCCACGTATCTTTTTTGGTGAATCCATGCCGAGAGAAGACTGTTCTGGAAGATGAAGGGTAGATGGCCACCACGATCCCACACCCCACCAGGGTTCAAAAGTGTGGGAGGAAGGCTCTGGTGTGAACCTGTGAAGGGAGTCAGAAGGCAGAACATCAATACCTTTATCCTACACCTTTGATAAATAATAGTCTTAAAAATGCAGGAGAGAAACATATTTAAATATGATAATGTTGAAATCCTCACAAGTTTCAACCGTACATGTTCCCTTATACGTCAATCCATTGCTTGGCAAAGTCCTACCCAGATAAATGAAAAACAGCCCAGATATGCCAAGATTGCATTGATGATACCAAAAAAACACTGGCCCTTTGGTAATCAAATATATACATACTGGTTGGTGGTTTGGAACATCTTTTATTTTCCATTTCATATCTGGGATGTCATCCTTCCCATTGACGAACTCACATTTTTTCAGAGGCGTAGGTCAACTATCAAATGTGGCTATGGAAAAATCCAAATATTTGATCAACATATGTTTGATGTTTCAATAATTTCAATACACATTCAATATACCATGTGTATCCATATGTCATGTATAACATATGTATACCATATGTCATGTATACCATATGTCATATCGTTCAAGATGGTTATTGCACCACCAACCAGTATATATATATAATTAGATTATATCAAATGTGGCTATGAAAAAATCCTGAGAAACCCATGAAAAATCCCCATCTTTGATGGAGATCTCCAGGAGTGGAACCACCAAGATCTACCAGCAACTTCTCGGCACCGAGACGGTGATCCCCTCGGGAACGCCATCCTCGTCGTTGTGTGAGGGGCGACCGCTGGCCTGGTGCCAGAAGGACCTGGCGTGGTGGGGTGGGTGTTTTCGTTGAATGTTTGTATATACCATATTTAATATGGCTGCACTATAGATTTGATTACTATAGACTATAGATAATAATTATATATTACATATATATATATATATTTATAGATTTACTATAGATTTATGTATTTAGATATGTCTAATGCTGAGGGTTGGTGTACAAGTGCATACATTTGTTGTTCATACATTTAAATGTTAAAGCTCCAATCATGTTTATTTGTGATCGTCAACCTCTTCCATTTTCTTGGTCAAAATCTTCAAAATTGATTCTACGGATAAAGAGCACCATTTGCTTGTGGTACCCCATTTCAAACTGTTTCTTTCCAACTTGATGATCTTTTTTTCGAACGGTTGGTTGGTAGGTTGAGTTGGATTGGTTGGCAGTCCCAAATATGAAGACACTCATTCGATGGAGCCACCAACTGCCTGGTCGTCCAGGTGTTAATCCATGTACTGCATGCCAGTATACACCTACCTAGATACGTCTTACCACAAAATCACCCGGTCATCGGTCATGGAGGTAAATATTTGCCATCACCATGGATTGTATTATGGATCATCCACTCTCTCTTTCTCCATATACATTATGATTATATATCATAATATATCATATATACATGTATGTATATATATATATATACACGTACAGATTGATACATTGTATCTCAATGATGAATCATCCCATGGGTTAAAAGACGACAACTGCTTGCAGGAACCCACCTTTTGGATGAAAGGAACAGCAACATTGACCCGACTGCAGGCAGCCCCGTTTGCTCCAGGGAACCAACGGTGGGGAGACGATTGGAGATTATCTTCATGGGAACATAGAATTTCTATTTGGTGCCTCATTATCAGCATGGGATTCCCAACATGAATGATTCACAATAATGTTAAGACCACGGCTTCAACAGAGAAAGTTTATTTTAGCCAACACATATAAAACAAAAACACAATCAAAAACATAATCACCAAAAAAGCAACCCGGCAGAAAGAATCAGCAGAACAAAAAAGAACAAAAACAAAAAACTAAACCTCGATTGTCCTCAGTTGTTTTTTTGTTTTATCTTGTTGTTTTGTTGGTGCTTTGTTTTTGTTTGTTTCTTTCTTGTTTTATGTTTGCGATTTTCTAGTTTTTGGTTTCTGGATTGTTTTTTGTTTGCTCTGGTTGTTTTTATTTGTTTAAGTATTATTACTATGTCTATGTAACCCTTAGTGCTGTTGGGCTCACAATCATAATGTGGGTAAAACAATGTCATACACCACCCCTTTGGGAATTGTTTATACCACGTGAACAAAAACGGTGATTTAGGGGGATGGTTTATTATTGTTTTACCCACATCAATGCTACATGAGGAAAACAACTGTGGCGAGGCCCCTGGGTCTGAAATCGAAAAGCCCACCCCCACGTATCTAAATGTACCTTGAGGTTAAGAACAATTGAATGGCTTGAGCCAATGGACAAGGGGGTTTAATATCATATGTTGGCATTTCACACTATGTAAGCAAAGTGCAATATGTATCGATATATATATATATAAGATGCTATAATGCTATATTTTGCTGTATGATAATGAATTATATCACCATCATCTGGCTAGTGGTATTGCAAACTCTTAAATTGGCCATGCTTCTCTGGGAAGACAAGCTCGCGCCTGACAATCTGGTTCTAAACGGTTCTATACACCCTAAAAAAGTTGTGTTTCGGAAGCCAAGTCACACAAAATTACCGTAACCGCACAATGTTGAACCAATAATATTACAGTTAACTGCAAATAATATTGAGATCCACGATATGCAAATCCAAATGACAAGTCAACAAGCAAGCATCCGAACATATCAATTTGTCCCAGTGGTTTGTAAGTGGGTTTTCACTTGCTGATTTAGAAGGACATTTGCATCAATGCTGCAGTTGTTTACAGATATTAAACTCCAACATGCAATCTTGAGGACCTCTCTTCTGTGGCTGGAACCAGCCTCACTGACCTCCTGCAGACTTTATCTCCGGTGCAGATCTCTTTGCAGATTTTGAAGGAACAGTTGCAGATTCGATGCTGTTTCCACAGGAATTCTTGGTCACTCTCAATGGAGCCACAGGAGTCTTCGTCGAGTTCTGCGGCAGGGGCTTCGCTTTCTGGATGCCGTGAGCGAAGAGCTTTGCGTAGTGCCTATCACTATATCAACAGCCAACTCCGAGAGAAACTTTGTGAACCACGCACGGAGGGTCTCACTTCGCCCTGGCCTTTGCAGCCACTGGCTATGCTCAGTGATGCCTCTTTGCGGCTCATGGGCTGCTTGCCAATTGCATGAGTGCAGGCAGCATGGTTTACATTGCAAACTGCTTATATATATATAATTATATATATGCACGAGCGGGTCATTGCAAAGATGATATTGTTGGTACATGTTGGTACTGTAAATCAAGACAGGCCTGCCGCAAGTGCATGACTATGGACCAAGGCAAATCTCCCTGCTCTTCATTGCAATAGTATGACTGATCTGATTCTGACAATTAGCAACTACAGTAGTTGAAAAAAAAATATGGCTTGTAGCCCCTACAAGTGTATATGCTGTAACCCAGTTATTAAATGTCTAGAATTGATCACTTGTAAGATATTTAGCTTAATGACTATCCCCTATAATCCCCTGGACTATATGTTTACAGTTCATTGCCCCTTTGGACAGTTCAGGCGAAAAAAATCCCAGCGCAGGACTATACCTCCATGTATCAGCCCTTGTCGGAGAAGTTGCAAGGCGCCATCCAAACGGGTCAGCTGGACCGGTGGCTCCCCTACTCGGGATGAGTTTAAGGCGGATGTTAGGGATGGAAGCATCAACCAGAGAAATTATGATAAACTCAGGTATTCCTTGGTAGTTATATATAGGTTATATAGGCTACATATAATGACATTTTTGTATGTATATAGGTTATATACCATACCCTCTGGTAATGACTAACAGATATAGCTATTGAAAATGGCCCATAGAAATAGTTGACGTACCGATTGAAAATGGTGATTTTCCAGTTCGTTATGTAAACGTTTACCAGAGGGTAAACTATGATAAACTCAGGTATTCCTTGGTACATACTGATGGCCGTGCTGGTCTTTTAGAGCATGAACATCCTATGCTGGGTCTCCTTGCTTTTGATGCCAGATGCTTGGACTGCAGCAATACTCCCTCAGTTACCATCGGTCTACATCGTGCAGCCAATTTGGCGGATGACATATTTGTAAGTAATCATTTTTGATTAGTAAAAGATAGTTCTTGATCATTCAGCATCATTTAATAGCCAATCATATCCAATCATGAATAGTAATGCTAACAAAACATTAATATGTATGACTTTTAATCTATATAATAATCATCTTCCATTATAATCCATTATATAAAGAATTATCTATAATAATCATCCCATATATATGTTTAATATGGATTATAATGGATTTTAATGGATTCTTATAGCTGGTTGGTGGTTTGGAACATGGCTTTTATTTTTCCATTCAGTTGGGAATGTCATCATCCCAACTGACGAAGTCCATCATTTTTCTGAGGGATAGGTCAACCACCAACCAGATTTGATGATTATAATTATAATGGACCTATAGAATCATTCCTAGCGACAGGTGCTGATCCTGCCATGGCCCAGGCAGCACCGCGGAGCGGCGCTCCGGCGAGCGCCTGATGTCTTTGGATTGGTCGCCCTTGAACTACGACGCTACGGCGGTGTGGTTGTGCAATTTGAGAGGCAAAGGTATCGTTTATGATAGATACATCCCATAACTATAGAATACTATAGACTATATATATTATATACTATATATATGGACTCTATATATATGACTATATATATATGACTATATATATATGACTATATATATATGACTATATATATGACTATATATATATGACTATATATATATGACTATATATATATGACTATATATACATGACTATATATATACACAGTGTTTCGTCTATATCTATCAGATTTTACATGTATGATGATGTATGTAGTAGATGCTTATATATATACATCTATAGTTTCGATATATATATATTCAATTATAGATTATAGATGTAGTCAGATGGGTGTTTATAAACCAACTTATAGCTAATTACTTTAGTTGGTGGCCCTGGTGAATTGTGGTGAATTACCCTCCTGTAGTGAAACCGGAACCATGGTACCCTGGTGAACATCAAATTTTTTTCGTTGGTAGATGGGCATTCCTCCCCAAATATATTCTAGTCACCTAGAGTAGATTGGATCCATTCCCCTATTCACTTTTGGAAGATGGTGTTTTGTGTTTGGTAATTTTGAACTCACCAACTTTGACGCATCGATGCATAGCATTTGCTTAGTTCCTAGTGGATCATTAAAGGGGAAGAAGAAACAGCGGCTAGAATCCAGGGTACCCTAGGCTTCTTATTTCAATTAGCTGACAGAAAGGGTTGAATCCAGCAATTCAGCCCCTGAAGTTCTTATTGCAGTAGGTTCTTAAACAGTGGTTTTACATGGTTTTACTGTAGTTGATGAACATGTCATTAGAGTTTTGATATCCTTGGAGTAGTGATTTGGGGTGGGAAGTTCAAAGATTTGAAAACCGGAGGATCACACAAGTGGCTCCAGACAATCAAAGCCGTAATAACCAAAAAAAAAGTAAAGGCCGTTTGACCAAAAAAAAACATGGGATTATGGCTTTCCAGGAATCCAAGCTATCCTTCTTGATTATTCTTCTGAACATCTACCTTTCCTGCATAGGGGTGTTGGGACCTGACACCATCTGACACCCGACCATGGGGCATCAAGCAGCCAACGGACCAAATCCTTCAGCTGGGACGTGGATCGCTGGGACGTGGCAATGTTCCACTGACTGGCGACACGAGCTTGGCTTGAAACCGACTTCAAACCCTGGAGGATTTGGCGCAGTATCGCCAATCTGAGGAGTATCGCCAGGTGGAAGATGGTTGAGCTTGGGCCATTGCAAGTCTTGTACCTTCGTGGGTCTGCAAAATGCCGCTTTTTTCGGAATCCGGCCAGCGAGTATGGGGATAGAACTCATATGACTCATAAGGCATGATTCATGTTGCTACAGTGGCACAACTGCAGGGATGTTCAAAAGTGGTTGAACCAGCAAAAATTGGAGATAATGAACTTTAAGATTAGTTGTAAACCACGGCAACTGGGCAACTGATATCACTAGTTTGGCAAGCAACACATGAACATATTGAAATCACAGTTAACTACAAAAGAATTGGTTTGACGAACAAACCCATGGTTTCATATTGTTTTTATTGCTTCAAAACCTTATACTGACTTAGATATTACATATACATATATACTGAGTATACTAACTTAAACTTCATGTGTTATTGATAAAACAATGTTTCAGACCATCTCAAACCACTCTTTTTTCTTCGCTTGTTTTGTTGCGTCAAAACTTCCAACTGATCCCCAGTTGCACCCAGGAAGCGAACCCTTTGGTGCTGCGCCTTGCGCATCCCTCGCCACACTTCGTGGCGTTGCTGCGGCGCCCTGGTGGCGGGTGACGGGCATGGAGTGGTGGGGATTGGGGGATGTACCTCCGAAACCATCCAAATATGTAAATATGTATATATATACAATTATATATGTGTATATATTTATATATATATATATCACAGTGGCACTGTTTAATGATGTTTAAGGGGAACACATTATATGTTTACTTACTGTTGTTGTTTTCGAAATTGTGATGGTTTGAATCCACGTGAGTCTGATACAAAATAATCCTTGTTTGTGGTTGTCGGAGATCCTTCCACCATCGCCAACAAATATTCAGTGCTTGGTGTAATGTTTGGTTTCCAAAGATTACACACTTCTAGTTTGGAAGACATTACACACTACTAGTAACTAGTAAACCAGTCTTGCATTTCTTTCATTATCCACACTACAGTAGGTAGTAATTGGTATACGGAACATGATTGCCGTCCTGGGCTGAGAATGCTGATCTTGGTGTCACCATGGGCGCCGCTAAGGAATCCCATCCATCGAGCCGAGTCGGATTTTTGGCGCTGAGATGTGAGGCCATGCGGCTACATCATGAACGGATATGAAAGGATCTTGTGAAAGCACCACATATACACGGCATATATATATATATACATATACATATCGTACATACACAAACTATGGTGGTAATCATCATCAAACTATTATAGCAATTCAGGACAAATTCTGGGTTGTAGTTTCATTTCATGACATGTCAGAAGATATTTCGTACAATTCTGGGTCTTCAGGTCCAGGATTTCCTTCATCCATTCTACAAAGTATGACCTGCCGAAGCGGGGCATGACAAAGCTGGAAGTTTGGCCGATCTACCCTGCTTCCAATGGGTAGTTCTGGCAACACTCCAAGGTTTGTTGGGTAATCATAATCTCCATGTTTCTTGGGATATAGTTATCCAGGTACCCAACAAAAACTGGACAACTTCTGGCACCCTCACGCCCCAACCATTCGCATCACTAGCTCCAGCCCAGGACTATAACTGGTCCTTCTTCGCCGTGGCTCCCAGCTGTCGCAAGATGCCCTCGAAGGGCGCCGCATCGCTTGCCGGCAGTGCCAGGCACATGCACCAGCTGCTGGGTAGAGATAGGCACGTGCAGCCTGGGGAAAGTGGGAGAACTTGTGCATTTTTTTGGGTTGGTTGGGATCCCACATTAAATGAGAATTTGATTGGAATATAATGGGATTTACAACAATTGTGATGATACACATATATATATATATATGATTATTATGATGAAGATAATGGTGATCGTGATTGTGATAGTGATGGTGATGATGATGATGATGATGATGATGGTGATGATGATGATGATGATGTGGGTGCGTATGATGATGATGATGATGATGATGATGATGATGATGATGATGATGATGATGATGATGATGATGATGATGATGATGATGATGATGATGATGATGATGATGATGATGATGCGGGTGCGTATGATGATGATGATGATGATGATGATGATGATGATGATGATGATGCGGGTGCGTATGATGATGATGATGATGATGATGATGATGGTGGTGGTGGTGGTGGTGATGATGATGATTTAATCATAATATATCAGAACATATCATAATGATCAGCAAGACAACAAGTTGGGCTTGTTTGAAAGTGGGGAACACCCCAAAAAATGCCATCAGACAATGATAAACCGCGTGGCTACGCACGGAAGTTCTTCAAGGGAGACTTGGGCCCCACTGGGACGACTGAGGCTGATGTCGATGACTGTTCAGCATTTTGGAGCTTGTTTAGAGCACGAGCGTAGTGCCTTGGTGTTCGGTTTACTTTGCGAGTCTGAAATTCAAACCTCTTGCGAGTCCAATCTCTAATTCCTTTATGCAACAGTTGTTGGTTTCAGCCATTTTCTGTATCATCTTCTATCAATCATGTTGGTTTAGCCTTGTTTAGCTCATCAAGGACACCCCACCGTGGTTTTGGATGACACAGCACAGCCCCTTTGGCTCCGGCGCCAAAGCCTCAGGTCAAAGCCGAGCCGGCACTGCGGAACGGCTCTGTTGGCATCGAAGCACTGAAGATCGCATCATCAGCTGCTCCAGCTACAGACCCTGGGCTGCGGTGCTGCGTTTGAGGGGGATGGTTGGTGCTGGCAGCCTTAGCGGAGAAAGTTATGATATATTCCTGAGACCTGCGTGAATGAAACGGCTGTTGGGTGTTGGATTCCCTGCGTGAATCTTTTGGGACAAGTCTGTGCTCCTGCGTGAATCTTTTGGCAATGAACAGTAGATTTGTTTGAGAGTAGAAAAGAAACTTAGGCCACAAGTCCAAAGAACTCATGCTATTCTGACACAAACTGAATCTTTTGATGTTTCGTTGTTAATTGGCAGATCAGATCTACATATTCCTTCCCTTGATTCATCAGCTGACCCGGTTGCGGACTCAGGAACAACTTCTGCCTATGTCCTGCGCGGACTTTACAGCCATCCGGCACGGGGGTTCGGAGTCTGCTGTCTGCTGCTGTACATTTCCACGGGAGTTGGAACTTGTTTGTGAAACCAAAGACGGCATGGGTCAAGTCTGGGTATGAAAGGGTTGGTTTTATATGGTTTTATTACCCATAGGCCATAGGATCCATGTATGTTATATATGCTAACATTGGGGGTATATTGATGGGATCCATGTTGCCATATATAGAAGCATACATGGATCCTATGGGTTAAAGTGTAATATTCCTGGACGACATGTTGTTTCCCTACCATTAAGGATCACCGGACAACCCAATCCGTGGTGAAATTTATATAGAAATCACTGTTGAAGTTCGTAAACGGTCAGTCACAACTCTATGTTTGATTCAAAGGTCCCTTTCTTTATAAATTGCATCAACATTGCTATCATGCATAGCCTTTGATACTATACATGTAATATATACTTATATATGTTATATATATATATATTTATCTATAAAGTACATATCATATATGTGTATGATATTGGTTTCTTTCTTCCCACTTTTTCCAAGGTGTCTACCTCCGTTGGTTCCTGGAGCACTTCGCCTCCCAGCACTTCACCGTGGCGCGCATCGAGGACCTGCACGACGTCGCCGCCGTCCTTCCGGCGCTGCGCCTGGGACCCCGTGGAGCGACGGTTCCCGCGGCGCGGGCGGCGCCGGTGCTGGAGACGCAACGGCACCAGGCGCTGGACGGAGCTGGGACCGATGGAACAATGAGAAATGGTGATTTATAGTAAAAAAAGGTGGATTTAATGGGGTTTAATGGGTTTTATATAATGGGATTTTATAGTGACTTAATGGGATATTATTGGTATATACCCTCTGGTAATGTGTTACATAGCCATGCTATAGATGGCCCATAGAAATAGATGGTTTACCGAACTTAAAAGTGGTGGATCTGTCCATGGCGAAGTGTTCAATAACCAGATGGTCATCTGGCTGGAAACTGTGGGGAAATTCGAAATTTGATCAAGCTGAGCTGGAAACTGGTTGGACCGAGTATGGAAAACTTGGGAGATATACTGAGATATACGATAAATTGGATGGAACATCTGGCATATGCCAGAACTTTTTATGGAATTCCATGATCAACCAACCTGAGCGGGATGAATGTGTATAGCTTTTGGCCAACCCATTATCCAAGTACTTTGCTTGTAGCATTGCACGCTCAACAGCGGATCAGGTGCAGTTGCTACCAGAGACCACCGAAATGCTGCGGGGCTTCTACACTCCTTACGTGAAAGACCTGCAGGAGGGGTTGAAGTGGTTGGTGCTTTTGTTTCACTAGTTGTCTTAGCCTTTAAGAGGATTTTCAGTCCGCTGACATGATTCATCTATACGATCTACTTGACCGAATCCATGGCATAGAATATAGTTCTTGGTGGGGATGCTTTTGACTGGTTTTGACTGGTTTTAGTGGTGAAACACTTGTCATGACATACAACTATCATCAACTGTCATGACTTGGATGATTGCAGGTCCACAGCTGATCCAGATATGAACAGATGACTTGCAGCGTGGCACCTGCGAGGTCCTCTTCAACGACACGACGCTCTCCTGGTGGTGATGGCAGCGTGTCAGAGATCCCAGCGCCGGATGCACCGGATGTGATGCCAGAACTCCTGATGCACTGGATGCCACGGAGATAGTATGATTAGTATGTTATAAAGATGTTATAAGCCTCTGAACAATTTTTTTAAGGGTATCTGAGATTGAACATGGCAATAGCATCATTGTGAAACATGGTTTGACTTCATGACTTCCAGCTTCCAGTTCCTGCAGCCGGTTTCGAAGTGCACTAAGGGACCCAGAAGATAAGCAACATGACCCGAAACTGGGGAGACAACTGGGACTCTTGGGAGGATGTTTTAAAATCTTTGTTCGAGAAGATGGAAAAACATGAAAATTTGTTTAGCTCAAGCAGCAGCGATGTTTATATTGAAGCCATGCTGGAGGCCCACACAATTGCACAAACAAAACTGTCAGGTTGTCGCCCCCCCCTCAAACTCAGACTTCAGACCGTGATCAACAGCCCACCACAACAAAATTGGCTTGGCATCTATGTGAGGGACATCTTCAACATCGCTTGTTCAGTTTCTCAGGGGTCATGTCAAAACATATTTCATTCGGTCATTTTCCGTCCTTAGTTTGGATCAACCACCTCAATCACTCTTCAGTATCATATGTTTGTTCCTATATAGTTGGTGGTTTGGAACATTTGTTATTTTTCCAGATATTGGGAATAATCATCCCAACTGACCAATATTGTTCAGAGGGGTAGGTCAACCACCATCCAGTCTGTTTTTTTCCAGCTTTTTCCGTGCTTTCTCTGCAGTGGCCGCCATGGCCCAGCCGAACATCTTGGCGCAGCAGATTCAAAGCTGCAGATGGGGATGTCTCGGATGTGGAGCCGAGGTTGTCGGAGGTTGGCCCAAATGGGTAGAACTGTAAAATCCTGCTGGAATAATAGTTAATCTAACTTTGTTTAACTATTGAACATTCCATTTAACTATGGAAGATAACCTACTTTCCAAGTTTTTGGTGGTTGCGATGTAGGCACATGTACATGGAAATGATGATAATGGAATGATGTAGCCGTAGTGATGAATACCTGAGTATGTCAGCCATAAGGGCACATCTCAGGGCGTCCAGGAAGGGTCCCCTACATGGGTAAGTTGGTGATACTTGGTTTATGTATAACTTCATCACTAGGTCAAGTTGGTTAAGTGTGGTTTACAATGGATGTTAATGGGTATACCAGAGAAACCTACAATTGAAATGGGTTTATATATACATTGTACTTACATCAATTTATAACTTTGGGGGGCCCTTCCTGTACCAAAGGACACTTTCAATTTCCAGATTTTCCAGCCATTTTGCCTCAATCTCAAGATGTTATCTACACAAGGTGCTGCCCCCAATTATAAGTTGGTTTAGAATCCCAGTTAACTCTTTACACATATATATCATGTTATATCATGTTATATCCACAAATTCTAGTGCATTGTTAATGGAACAAACCAACTTAGCGAAAAGTGGCACAGCACCTTTCACCCACTTTTTGGAGGTGCTAACCGAGCGACGCATCTCCCGTGCTAAGGATGAGTGGCATTGGCATCTTGGACCAGCGACTTGGCAGACCCTGTTTTTCAATGGAACAAAATCAGCTGTGGGACCTTTCATTATACGATTTTGGTCAGCTCAATATGATGTTTAAATGTTGAAATGCTCACATTAAGAGACTTTCTAGTCATCGTTGATCTATACAATATAAAATGTAGTTAGTCGAATAATTGGTCAATGGACAGGAATGAGCGAGGGTCAAGATTTCAGACTTTGGAACCCGATGAACATGTAATTCTGTTGCAAATGAAACTGACGTTAGTTTCTGTACAAGTGCGTTTTTCGCATCGGAAAGATCCACAAAATATCAAGCTATTTTGGATGATTTTGCTGTGAAAACTAGGGATGGCCAGGGTGAAATGAGCCGTGCCCTACTCTTAATATGTGTTTGAAGAAACGGTGCCATTGTGCCTCTCTTGTTCGCGAGGATCATCACCGATGTGGCGCGAATGTGGCTCAAGCAATCAGCTCAACTCAGCGTCGTCTGACCGTCCAAATCATCAGAATGATACTCGTCTTGGGGTTCCTCGCCACGATTCCCACGATTCCCACGGCTTTTCGGCAAGAGTCTCAGCACCTCCCAGGGTCCGTGCTTCAGATGTACCAGGAAGACTTCTTCACCCCGGAGGAGTACGAGAAGATGATCGCAGACTACAGAGCGGACTGGAAGAAATATGGAGTCGAGGTGAGATGACTTGCGAGTTTGTATGGTTTTGTCGTCTTCACCTCTATGATGAATTATACATACATATGTATTACAGTTTCAATATATTAATTAAAAAAACATTTACCCGGACATAATCACGTCCCACAAAACAGCATAAACGAATCACTCCTAACGTATGTCTATGTTGGTTCTTCCCACAACTGACGCATGACAGTAGATTTACTCGTTCAACTTCCCCACAAGAAGTAGATGAACCCACATCAGTAACCATGGACCACCGATCAACACGTACACTTTGTATTTTGTTTTGGGGGGTATCTCCCAAACACCTCGTGAGCTAGTGGATGCATGTATGTTCGTAGGTCATATTCACTATGCGAATTGTGGGGTGCGACGGATAAATTGATACAAGAGAATCCATTCACCAATTCACAAGTCATTCTTCTGCGATCCGGATGATCCACCAGTGATTCATCAGTGATTCACTCTAAACCATTATGGCTTGGGGGGACTACTGTTAATCCAGACAAACCTCCACATTATTCACCGATTTACCAGTGATTCAAGACCATGTGTGGAAGGGCTACCCATTCGATCCTTGCATATCCATGCAACTCACCACTTCACTAGTAATTCATCACTGCTTCACCAGATATTCACAATAAAATGTTATATAGAAGGTGATTCACTAGGTGATCATAAAAAAAAAAAAAACACTATATACCATTATACCATATTATACCCAGATATTCGCTATAAAATGCTATATATAAACATATAGAACTACCCTTACGATCCGCCGAAAAACACCATCGATACACCGCAGGTGGAAGTTTTCGGCAACGTCTCCGGGCTGATGGCGGTCGAAAATTTGCCGTGGAAGGAGAGGGTCTGGTGCTCGCCGCCCTGGCATCGTAGCCGCCCTGGTTGCTGGTTTTGATTATGTTGCCCCAAAAAGGCCCCAAAAAGGTCATATTTCATAGGGGAAGGGATTAGGATGATTATAGACTATAGGGGTTGTTTTGAGTTTACGTCTATAGTATGGATTATATTGGTATAGATCGAAACGCAAAAAGCAAGAGGATGCCTCCAACTTGTGGTTTGTAGAGTGTTTTCCCTACTAAGTTCTTGTCGGAGTCTTGATCCAGCGATAGATTCAGGGAGTTTAGACATTGGAAGCACTTTTGAAAGGCTTTGTCTAAACTACCGCAGTTATGGGGATTTCATCCACAGTGTGTGCGCGTGTGTGTTTCAGCAAGTGGTCTGGTCTCCTGGGAAGGACGCTTGGGACAAGAACGTGAGCTTCAACAGCAGTGAAGATCGTCCACGTTGCAAGGAAGGTCATTGCCAGGAGGTGAAGTTGGAGGAAGTCGTGCCTTTCCTCAAAGGTCACCCCTACCTCTACCATGGGGGCGCAATCAAAAGTGATTGGTTTGCGAAAAGCATTGATTTCAGCAAGGCAGGGGACAAAATCACAGGGCCAGTGTTCTTCACTACCCACAACATCTTCCATGCACTCCTTTACAGTGCGAGTGCAATGTTTGATTGGGGCGAGCTCGAGCTAGACCGAAAAGTGGAAGACAAGAAAGTCCCGTGGTCAGATTTCTATCGCCCGGTGATGGAGTTTGAGATCCAACATTTGGACCAATGCCAAGGTCTGGTTCCTGATATGGGTTTCCTTCAGAAAGCCGCAGATCAAGGTAAAGACAAGATCGAGAAGTTCATGGAAACCCAGTGCGGCGGCCACAAGTGCTCCTTCCTTGCGGTGAACTGGAACGAGGATAGCAAAAAGGGTTCGGGGCTGCTGCCTTATGAGATCCGAATGCTCCCAGGCAGCGTGGAAACCTGTGGCATGAAGTTGAAGAAGATCATCATGGTGATGAGCTCTTTGTACGACAAATTCTTTGACGACGAAGCTCCTCAGTATCTCAAAGCTACGGGGATCGCCGCAAAGCTCTATCAAAAAAGCATTGGACAGGAAAATTCGACGGGAACGCCCTGAGGCAGAAATGGTCACCAAGACTCGTGAGGAGTTGCCAAAAAGGTTTGGAGGCTACGGAATGATCTCTCGCAGGGTCCCAGGGTTGGAGTTCAGCCACTCAAGCCAGGCAATCCCAAGCAAACTTATACAAATCACTGATACCCTTGGGTATTCAAACGTAGCAATGGATAGAATATGATAAGATTACAACCTTTATAGATATTGATGGATGGTTTTCCCATGAAAAGGATTTTCCATTGCCACCTTTGATTGCGGGAGGGTACTTGGGATCCATTTCCAGGAAACACCTTGGCATTTCCCACAGCCTGGGAAGCCATCTTGGGTGTTTCGCAAAATTTTTCGATACGCCTTACAACCAGTTTTCTTCGATGACAGTGACATCCTCCATGTTTTGGTCAGAAACTGTGGGATCACCAGTCAAGCAGCAGATGCCGGGGGATGCTGGAGTTCCAAGAGGGTGCCTGAGGTCTGTTGTATCTTGTAACTTTTTTTTAATAAACCCATCAAAAACTACGTAGAATGTTAACTAACTAAGTGTAAATCGGTGTAAATCCATCAATTATTTCTACTGTGTCCTGTATCCTGTACCATAAATCCATCAAGAACTGGATGTCCTGTCATCCACAAAGCTTACAACACCCGAAATCAACTGAGCTAATGGATGTGCAAAGCCTTGACCACGAGACCACGTGGACGACTTGCCAGTTTTGCTTCCTGAACAATTCCTGGACTGCCCAGTAACATCCAGCAGTTGCCATTGAATTGCATGGTGATCTTATTAATCTTTAGAACTTTAGATTTTCTGACCAGTTGAGTGCTTCAGTTCAGTAGTCCCATCTGAGCCGAGTCGTGGTGCCGAGATCACGGATTTTACGTGGGCAACTCGGAGGGGGGTCGAACTGGATGGCGCTCATGGATCTTAGCGGCAGAAACTACGGCTATGGGTCGGAATCCAACAATGATCCAACATGATGCAACACTCCACAGTCATGGGCAGTTTTACTCAAACATCATCATGTTTTTCTTGGTTGCCCAGTTTTGATCCATATCAACCCATATCATAATTAGCAGGGCCAATTTTTCACCACTTCCCAGCACCACAGACCACCATAGACGTCGGCATCTTCAAAAGCAAGGGGGTTATCTCATGGAGGGTTATGATTCCATTTGTAACTTGTAAGTTGGATTGTCACCACCATTAAGTATCCACAATAGATATGAATATACTAAAATAGTAGTTATAGATATATCTACCATAAACATCCATAAACCATTAGCGTTGGTGATGGTCACCAACTTCCCGCGGCAGGTCTGGACTGGGATCGTGTCATCAAGAACCTCCACAAGAACCTCCGCGGCAATTCAGAATTTCCTGGGATTTCCTGGTGACCCTGGTGCTAGAAAAATAGATGGTACAGGCATGAACTTTGGTTGCTACTGCTTGATCATCCTTTTCCCCACTAGTTGATGGCCATTGTCGAGTATACTCATGTGACAACAAACCCAATTTTGGAGATGATAATCTGAATGCAGAGGGAAGAGTTGGATACGGATACAAATTTTTGCAACGCCCATCCCTCATGGTTGGTGGCATGGCTGTAGGGCTTTGGGCGCTTCTCAGCAAGCACTGAGACTGATGGAATGCTGGTAATGTTATCCGGAAGCGGGGCTGTAATGATATCCTGATGGTGATGATGCTCAGTATTTAACATAGTAATAACCATTGTAATGATACTTCTACTACTAATAATAAAATACATATTATAATATATTTTATTTTATATTACATTATATTACATTATATATATATATTGTTTCCTATTAATTATATGATATGAGTTTACATTATATTATATTGCACTATAATATATATATATATACACCTTTATATCACTTAATCTTTATACATATTAGTTTATTCTATTTTATCATAGTATGGTATTTTGTTTTGAATTTTATGTTTTTATCATCTAAGAATATTTACAGTATATATATATACATCTACATATGTGTATATATATCTACACTTATTTATTTATTTATTTATTTATATCATTGCTTGATCTTATGCTCATGACACAATTTTCATTGGTCACCCTATTCCTCAGAATTCTCAGCCTCTGCTTCTTTTGACGATGGTCCTAACGCTTTGTGCGATGATCATCCCCATCCCATGGTCCCCAAGACGTGGAAACCCCCTGAAACCCATTGAAATCCTCTATGAAAACCATGGTTTCTTGTGGGTGTTTAATCTTGGGGGGATGGGATTCCTATCTTTTTGTTCCCCTGGAGGAAAAGTGGCAAAGAAGAAGACCTGAAGAAACCCACTTCTATCGCAGATGTGGGTCCTGTCGAACTGGAAAAACTGCCCCAGGTTTGCTTGCCTTCCCACATTTTTTGGCTGACCAGTCGATTTCAGAAAAACATGTTGTGAAGTATACTTCTCTAGGAAGATGCACTCCAAGGACTAAGTATAAATAGGATGAAGAGGTTTGGCACATGCCGCAGGTCTTGCTTTCCATGGTTTCCAGCAACAATTTCTCTTGACTGTACAGTAGTCAGTACTCTGGTTTTACATATGTTTGATTCTGAAGCAGAACTTGTATTTTCTTCTTATGATATCGCGTTTTTCATCTTGGAAATACAACATTTTTTGATTTCACACCTGATCCTTGACGCTATCCCTTCATGGTGAGATCCACCCCTTCTCCCTCTGCATGTTCTGCGATCCCACAAGGTGTTGCGTTGGATGAGATGAAAACTTTTTCGCACCGTCAAAACGTAGCCTGGCATGGGGATATCTACGGGTTGTGTTAGGCCCCTTTGAATCAGCCAAAAGTCGAAAGTGGAATCAACCAAACCCAGGGAACTTTGCCAACTGAAAACGGTCTCTGATCTTGATTTTCTCGTTAAAACTCGATGAACATGGGAACTTGACCGATAAAGATAAGGGTTTCAATGACAGGTCGTGGGATTTAGTAGGATTTAATGGGATATATGGGATTTTTCATGGGATTTAGTGGGATTTAGTAGGATTTAATGCGATAAATATTTCAAATATTTCAACGACAGGCCCCTTCGAAACATGGAGTTCAATTCGGGTGGTGAAGCCATCGGCTGTAGCGTCATTTTCTGTGCCAGTTTTATCAAGTTGAGCTCTCTTCATTTTTTGGTTGGTGGTTTCAAACCTTTTTTATGTTCCATAATATATCCATATATGGGATAATCCTTCCCATTGACTAATATTTTTCAAGGTGGTTGAAGCCACCAACCAGTTTTTGTTGTTTCAATCCCACAGAATCCCCATCTTTTTTGGCACGACCTGGACTTTGTCGATTTTCAACACGTTCCCATTGATTCATCCACAGAGAATCTGCGCTAATACAAGGGATGATTTTGAACATGTTTACCCTCTGGTAATTTGTTACATAGCTATTGAAAATCACCATTTATAGTGGATTTTCCCATAAAAACTGGTGATTTTCCATAGCTATGTTAAATTACCAGAGGGTAATGGACTTCCAAACGCACAAAATCTCCGTAGTATATTTACAGCGGTTAAACTGTGCCACTATTTTGAACGTTCTGGTTCCCGTAACTCATGAATTCTGCAGTGGTGCTGAGGCATCCCTATGTCGGCTATCGCCTGGCTGAGGACTTAGTCAAGTTACGCACTTGGAGCGCGGAGCGGTGGGGTCGGGTGATCTTAACCTACAGAGCTGAGAGGAGTATCTATAGATTGGTAGTGTACTGTATCATAGGACTTTGGGCGTCTTTCGAAGTGTTCGAGCTTCCCAGAATTGCAGGGAAAATCGACAGGAAAGCTGCATAGCTGGTAACAATCTAAGGTTTGTCAGTCGAATATCCCAGAACCAACCCAGGATTGGGGTTGCCAACCGTGTGGGACATGGCTTTGCTGGGACATGAAGGGCCGCCCCTCACCAATGGCTCCATCCCCGCAAGACCCCTTGGCACATTCCAAGGTTGGCAGATTGTAGTGCCATTGGCATGCCCTTCATGACGGCTCAGTCGCTAAGCTGCTGATGCTGCTGGAATCTGACCCCAAATTGATGCAATGCATTGGTGCAACTTCCAAATAAAATCCTTTGAAAGTGCGGTTTAAACAGGAAAATCACGTTCAGCAACATTCCCAGTGCCTGTGTTAAGGGGAGATATCAAGTTGGCTAAGTTATCCATTTAGCAAATAATTCTTTCGACTTAAGCATGACTCACAACTATTTTTGTAAACTAGCAATCACGTTAGATATCCAACTAGAATCCTTTCGAAATGGCAGTGCAGCCAGGGATGCGACAAATAAGATACTACACCTATACACTAATAGTAGAGAAGATATGGTGAAGATGATGGCAGCAGTACTCATCTTTTGTTCCATTTTGTTCCATCAGAGACAGCAAGAGTGTAACAAATCAGGTTTAAGGCATCAATGAAGTGGCACCCAAACAGACATGCGATCGCCAAATTGCCAGGATTCAATGTTTAAATCATGCAGAGAGTTGAACATGACTGACATTGAACATGACTGGCGCCGACTGACTCACCTGAGGTTTCAATTTTCTCAGTGTCTTGACGTGTGAAGTTGGCAAGTCAGCGGTGTAGAAGAGGGGCATTTTGCAGCAGCCACAAGGACTACAGAGAGCAAAGAATTCTGAAACAACATGACGCGGGTTGATTCAATAGTTCCAGATAGTTTCAAGATCATGTGGGTTTGACCATCAGGAATGGGCATTCCACCACTTGGAATGATACTTCGAGCCCAAGAATGTGACTGCACCACCATTTTGTTTATCACCAATGAACATGGAATTTAGTTTGCAAACGTGCTTTAGTCACCTGTGATGGGGTGACGCATTCCGCACGTTTTTTTGGGGATCGCCGAGAGTTCCTGGGCCAAGCGCTTGTCCTCAGCACAGAGGTAGTTGCCCCCAGTGAAGTTCCAATAGCAGTACTGTATGCATGCACAGCAAGTGTAGATACCATT